GTGGCAGGGGCTCAACTCGCCCCTCTCGGAGGCTGAGGAAGAATTTCGGTCGCATCTCTGCTCGAAACTGCTCTCCATCAGTGCTTTGGAAGCACCTGGGGGCCCTGATACAGCATCACGCTCAGGGCAGCGCAAGGACCAAATTAATTCCTGCCCCAAAGCACTCTCAGACTTCTCGTCCCGCCACCGGTGTGGCAGCAATCGGGAGCCTGAGCTCCTGCGAGGGCTCCTCGGGGAAATGATACCGAGAGCCCAGCGGTTCCGGCGTTGCCCGCAGATGCAGGGCAGATAGCGCAGGCACTGGGCAGGAGGAGCCTGGCGAGTTCCCCAGTGAGGGATCAGACCAGTTGGATAACTGGGTCAGACTGGCTCCAACAGGGGTGACTTCACCTGGAAAAGACAGCGAGCCGTACTCCTCCCGGCTGACAAGAGATTAATTTCCTAGTTAAGGCAGAGGTGAGTTTGGACCATGGGTGTAGATGTGTAATTTTTCACTATCTGTCCATTAAAGCCTGTTTGTCTCCAAACACCGATTCCAAGATTGATGGGCTAATTACATCCTGTCTGACTTGGAGCATAATTGATATGTGCAAGCGCAACGCGCAGTCCTGAACAGGTTTTCCACTTGATGTATTGCGAACCAGAACCAAACCCTCTGAAATTTATTAGGGATGGAAAAACTGGTTGCAATATTGCGCGGTAAAAGATTTGGATAGGTGTCTCTCTGCAAAACAGCTCCACCTTGGACAATTTCTCCTGGGTGCTTGCTGATCCGATGCACACTCCATCCTTTCCCGCACTGCAGATTTTTCATGATATATTGCGTGTGTCACCTTGTACCTTGGCACTCCCACAGCAATCATATCTCATGATATTTGAAACACAACAAAAATGGAACAGGATCTTGCTGGAGTATGAATGGGAGAACAAGGAGCGGGGCCACCACCCCCAGATAAGCCTTCAGTATTTATGGCGTTCAGACAAGATTCTAAGACTCAGCATTGCCCATCAGTACAGATGTCTGTACCTATAGACGACCCATTTTACCCATCTGCTCATCTTTCAAAGTAAACTAAAGCACTCAAAGCTAGAGGCCAAGTTTCCAAGTTAAAAATTACCCATCTTCTGATGCTTATAGTAGGGTAATATAAAAATGGCCTTAAGTGTATATAAATATTTATAGGAAGTTGTTTAGTTTTCTGTGGCTGTAAATACCAATTTTTGACTAGTCACTGGCCAAGTCTCCCGGCTGGGAGCTGTCACAGGTCCCTCCTTAACTGTCAGGGCTGTGAATGATAACACACCCGTGTCTCCTACCTGTACTGCTTTTTCCTTTTTCAGAGTGATAACAGTTATGACTACTTATCTGTGGAAGAGAAGGAGTGTTTGATGTTCTTAGAAGAGACTATTGGCTCCCTGGATGCAGAAGCAGACAGCGGGGTCTCTACCGATGAGACCGACCACGTGGAGCCCTCCAAGCTGCCCAGGACGTGGCCTAAGAGAGACGCCGTTCCCCAGGGTAAGCCGGACAGACGCGCTCCAGCCTTGTTGGCGAAGGGACTTTCACGCTGGGCTGCGTCTCCTTGGCAGGCAGGGAGGGAGCATGGCCCCGGTAAGCTAAAGCCGACTGGTTTTCGTCACTCGCCGGAGAGCGGTGGCTGCGGGCAGCGGGGTAGGTAGGGCACCAACTGCATTTTCCCAGTTCTCACACGCAGGAGCTGCCGGCAGCTTCCTGGCGAGGTCAGCAGAAGCGCAGGGCAGAGCATCTTTGCTCACGCTCCAAACAGGCTTACACACGTTAACAAGGCTCCTCGTTCACCGTGTGCATTGTCAGATCCAAAGTATCTGCCTTTCTTAGCAGTGACAGCGTGTAACCCAGGTCAGGGTAAACTCCCTGGGTGCAAGAACTCTGCCATGGCTGCACTGGTTCGTCAGGCATGGAGAAGTGGGGTTTGCACACAGGAAGGTGTCCTGCGTCCGTCTGCAGAACAGTGCTTGACTTCCCATCTCTCTCTTTGCCTAGATTTGGAAAATGGGGCTCCCCCTCTGAGTGTAGGTCAGCTGCGTGCAGCTGAA